ATCGCCGGACCCTTTCTATCAAAAAACAGCCCCGCCTCGGAGACTCTGCATGGTCCGCTCGGCTGGGGCTCCCGGGCGCCCGCCCTGGGCTTGGGCCCAAGGCCCTCGACCTCCACCCTCCTGCACGATCCGGACAGCAGATGCGGCGCAGCGGCCGTCGCCAGTGATGGGCCAATTTTCCAGCACCACCACCATAGGTAGGAGAGGGAGGAGGAGGAGGAGGAGGAGGAGGAGGAGGAGGAGGAGGAGGAGGAGGAGGTGGAGGAGGAGGAGGAAGAGGAAGAGAAGGAGGAGGAGGAGGAGGAGGAGGAGGAGGAGGAGGAGGAGCAGGAGCATGAACAGGAACAGGAGCAGGAGCAGGGTTGAGACAGGCACCGCGACGAGCTCCACGTCTCTATGCAGCACGTCCTTGCCCGCCTGGTCGACGCCCTCCCCGCCGGTCCCAAGAGGCCACGCCACGTCCACAGTGGAGCTGTACTGTCTGCAACACCTCCGGTCTTGCGCGAGATCCGCCAGCGGCGCGACCTGCACGAGCAGTGAGAACGGGGGACCGCCTGGGCTGGGCGCCGCCAGTCCCTTCTCCTGGATGCCCCGCCTCATCGACAGGGCCCTCCGCGACTAACGTCAACCGCCATGCTTTGGGGCCTCTTCCATGTGCTCCGCCCGGAGGCTGCCGCCACGATGCTGCTCACCACAGTGGGGCATGCATTCGCGGCTGGCCGTGTGCCCATCGCGTCCCTAATCGCCGCAACTTCGGGCTTCCCAGTGCCCGTTATGGCCTTCAGTGCCCTGCGGATGGGTGGCGGGCGAATGCTGTGGGCTGGCTGCCCATGGTGGCCATCCTTCGGGGCGCCCGCACCACGCCAGGGGTCCGCCGTCTCCTCAGCGTCACGGTCGCCGCCGCAGGGTGCCCCAGCATGGGGCAAGAGGCCTGCCTACCAGTCTTGGCCGCAGCCTGTTAGCCTGCCTTCCCCGAGGCGGCCGGGGCGCCCGCGCCTCCGCGGCCGCGCGCAGAACCCAGACCGCCCGCCCAGGGGGCCAACGTGGCTAAATGGCACATTGACGCAAAGCGCGCCCGTGCCTCTTGTACTTGCTTCGCCTCCTCGTGCAAGGGCGCCATCACCAGAGGGGATCTGCGCGTCCGCAGCGCCGCCAGCACAGTGAATCCGCGCTGGTACTACGCCAGCTGCGTTGAAGGCGGCCTGGGACCCCAGGGTGACCTCGAAGGCTTCGCCGACCTCCGGCAGGAGGACCAGGCCAAGGCCCAGGAATTCTGTGACCACCCAAGCGGAATCTCGAGGGCGCACTACGTAGAGACAGTCCGACGGACCAAACGGCAACGGCGAGGGGCCGCAGACCCAGGAGACCCCACCCCCTCTGAGGGGGAGCCCATGGAGCACTTCGACGAGTTGCCAGAGGACCAAAACCACGCGAATGGCGACGACCGACGCCTGGGAGAGGGGCTGCAGAACATGGCGTGGTGGGACACGGTGGACTACGAGGAGCTGGATATCTGGATCCCTACTCTGGGGCGCACACCCCGGGACGTACACCACGGCTTGGCGCTATTCCGGGGGGCGGTGTGTCGGGACATCCGCCGTGCGCGGGAAACGGGTGACGCCGTGGCGGAAAGCAGAGCTTGCAGACTCCTTACCTTCATGGACCGGCTGGTGCTGACTGCCACGCGGGGCACAAGAGGGGGTCGAACACACAAGGGCACGCTGCCCTCTACAATCACCGCCCGGCCCCGGCTGGCCTGGAAGGTTGACTGGTGCAGTCTCTGGCGAGACGCGGCGGCAACTGCGCGAGACAGCCCGCGCGCGGCAGCCCGGGGGAGAACCCCAGCAGAGGACGCCCGCTCAGTCAGTTCGTTGGTGCGGGACGGGCTGTTGAGCAAGGCGCTGGCTGTGGTGCTCCGCCAGAGTGCAGTGCTGGTTGGTCCAGAAGTGCACGCCACCCTCGTGGACCTGTTCCCGCTGGGCGCTTTGCCGGAGAGCCTGCCCTCCCCCCCCTCCTATGGCGCCAGAGACCTGGGCGGACCTGATGTACGCCGTGCGCCGGAACCTGAAAAGCTACCCGGCGCGCTCTGGGCCAGGCCCCAACGGGTCCCGTTTTGAGCACTGGGCCACTGCCGCGGCCGACAGCGAGGCGACCGACCACGTCAGCCGGGTGGCGGTCATGTTCCTGCTCGGGGAGTGCCCTGCTGATTTTCCCAAAGCGAACTTGGGAGCTCGCCTCGTGGCCCTGCGAAAGCCCAACGGCAAAATCCGGCCCGTGGCGTGCGGGTCTGTGCTGCGGCGCATTGCTGCGAGGGCTGCGTGCCACGTGTTTCGGGAACAGGTGGTGCACGCCTGTGGACCGCACCAGTACGCTGTGGGACGACAAGCCGGGCGCGAAAAAATCCACAGAGCTGTCACGGCAATGACGGCGGCATCGCCCGCAGACTTGGCGTTGACGTTCGACGCCACCCACACGTTCAATACTATGCCGCACCAGAGAATCCTTGCGGGAGTCGCGGCGTGGATGCCCGACCTGTACCAGGCGGCGGCCGCGTGGCTGGGCACGGGGACCACGCGCTTCTGGTGTGGTGCCAGCGGGAAAGTCAAAGCGGTGAGAGCCAGGAAGGGGGTCGACCAGGTCTGCCCGCTCTCGCCCGCCTACTTTGCCTTAGGGCTGGCGGAGGCGTTGTCCAACATCGACGCTCGCCTGCGGGCCGCGGCGCCGACTGCCCGGGTCTTCTCCTACTTGGACGACGTGGTCGTGGTGGTGCCCGCGGCGCTCGGGGAGGCAGCGGCGCAGACAGTGGTCGAGGAGTTGACGCGAGCAGCACTTACCATCAACGAGGACAAAACAGCGGCGTGGACCCGAGACCCAGCGACGCCACTTTCGCCGCTTCTCGAAACTTTGCGGACACCAGCTCTCCGCTGCCTGGGGGCCACCGCGCCCTGCGTGGAACCGGAAGTCCCGCTGGCGCGGCTCGCAGTCCACGGGCAGGCTGACGGCGACGAGGCCGTGCGGGCCGCAGAGCGACTGGTCACCCGACTCCAGGAACTGCGGGTCGTCGGACTCGGGGCGAAGGAGAGCTTCTGGCTGTTCCAAACCTGCAGCAACGGCTGCGTCACGCACCTGCTGCGCGCAAACTACGAGGACGGGGACTGGCTTACCAGGCTCGACAGGACACTCACACAGTTTATGGAGGACTTCCTGGGCGACGCCCTCGACGACGACTTGCGGGCGCAATGCTTCCTCCGGTTGACCGACGGGGGCCTCGGGCTTGCCTCGGCTTCGCAGGCGGCGGCCGCCGCCTACCTGGGCGGCTGGCCACTAACCCTCCACAGCGTGGGCGCCTGCCTGGATGAGCCCTCCTGAGCGCGATTCAAGGAGCGCTGCCCCTTGGTGGCCGAGGCCATAGCGAGGGCAGGGGCCTGGCTACAGGCGCAGAGCGGGGGATCTCTCCAGGCCATCGGCTGGACCGGCTGCATGGGCGAACCGCTGGAAGGGATGCAGGGGAAGTGGGCGGGCGACCTCCGCAGCAAGGAACGCGAGCGGCTGCTGGCCTCCCTGGGAGCAGACGACAGGGTTGGCTTCCGCTCGTCTGGCGGCCCTGGCGCAGGTGGGTACTTGGAGCCGCCCGTCGTCCGGGAGGGAGAGACGCCTGCTAAAATGCCGGTCGAGCACTTCCGCGTTGCCCTCAAGGACAACCTGCGCCTGCAGGTGCGCCCGCTGGGCGCAACCTGCAAGCTCCGCAAAGCCGACGGGGCGCTGTGCGGGGAGGCGCTTGACCGACGCGGGCGCCACGCCCTGAAGTGCCCGTGTGGCCCTTACCGCAACAACAAACACAACGGCCTCCGGGACTTCTGCGCAGGCTACCACCAGCGGGCCACAGGACACGCAGCGCTGACGGAGCAACGGGTTGTTGCTTGGGACAGGGTGAACCCGCGGACAGGGCGCCTCGAAGAAGCGCGGCCCGACGTCGCCACCCGCGACGCAGTGACCGGCCAGACGGTGTTCTTGGACACGAGCGTGACCTGCGCACACAGCGGCACCGCGCCGCGCCAGCAGGCCCGCTCCAACAAGGACGGCCTTGCCGCCACTAACGCCGTGGTCGCCAAGCGGGAGCGCTACCCGCACGAAGGGGGCCAGCTCATCCCTGTGGTCTTCGAAACATGGGGGCCGCCCCGGTGACGCCACCGTGGCGTACGTCCGGTCCTGGGGCCACGACACGGCCCTCGCGGAGCGGACAGAGGTCATCCGCTATGGCTGGCAACAGCTGAGCACGCGGCTGCACCTCGGAAGCGCCGAGGCCATCTTGGCGGCTGTGGGGCGGTAGGCGCGCTGCCGCCAGCTCAACTACCGCCAGCGCGGCAACCACCACGTCCGCCACCAGCGCCGCGACCACAACCATCACCAGCATGACAACCACTGCCGCCACCGCCAGCACCACGACGACGACCCTAGGCACGACAACCGCCACGACCACCAGCGCCTCGACCACGACCAGGGCCGGCACGACAATCGGCGCGACCACTGCCGACAGGCACCACGACCACGACCATCACCAGCACGACAGCGCCGTGACCACGGCGACCACCACCGCCGAACCGACCGCCAACGCCCCCGACCCCTCCTTCTCTCTCCTGTCCCCGCCCCTGCCGGGCCGCCCCTGCTGCCTCGCGGGCCTTGCGCCTCCCTCCCCCTCCTCCTCCTCCTCCTCCTCCTCCTCCTCCTCCTCCTCCTCCTCCTCCCCCCTCCTGACTGATGAATAATCAGCCCGCGAGGGGCAGAACATTCCTTGGATGGTGGCTTAGCTTAAACTCAAATTTTGCAACGCCCCAAAGTGGATTCGGTTTAATGCATGACCACCAGGACTGATGCTCTGGGCCGTCCCCTGAGAGCTGGTGGGGGCGACACACTCGCGACCAGCGGGAGGAGGAGGAGGAGGAGGAGGAGGAGGAGGAGGAGGAGGAGAAGGACCTCCTCATCCTTCCTTCTCCCCCGTCCTGCATCTGGCAGCGGTGGTGGAAAACTTGCCCATCGGCCAGCGGCCGCCGCAGTGGCGGCCGCCGTCGAGGCCGCAGCGGCGGTCTCGGCGGTCGCCGCGGGCGCGCCGCGGCGGCACCTGCTGCGCGGAAGGTCCTGGTCGGTGGTTCAGAGATGGGGCCCTGAGGACTGGGGTCCCAAGGACGAGGTGCCTCGAGCAGTGTATATTCACCCCTGGACCCCTTCCCGTCCTTGGGACCCCACCCCTCAGGACCCCATTTTTCGGCGGTGGACAAAGATCCCTTTAGTACACCTCCCTTTAGCGAAAACGGCCTAGGACCGAAACCGACGGAGCTGGACCCGCAAAAACGACGGACGCGGCGCCCTCTCGCGAACCGAAAGCGGCCAATTCGCTGATCGGCGTGTCGGGGTAGGAGGTCCATCCGCCTCCGAACCTTTGAACCACCGAATCGGGCCGCGTCGGCCGAGGGCGGGGCCGACCACCCGGCCGCGGGCCTCGCCCTCCAGCAGGCGGCCGACCACGTTGTCGCTTCTGCGCCCCGGGCCTCCGGCGCCCGCCGCCCGCGGGGGCCCTGGGCGCGGCGAGCAGGCTGGCTCGGGCCGGGGTGGGGCCCGCGAGCAGGAAGCCCACAGCGGACGTGCAGTCGGACCTGATCGGAGAGGACCCGCGAGAGGACACAGTACCCTTCCGAGGGCCACATCGCCATAGGAGCGCAGGGGGCAGGGGTCGCGAGACACAGGACACAAGGATGCCCTTGATCTGGCAGGGTCGACCTACTGATCCAGGGCGCCTGTACGCGCCCAACCACGCACACGAACTTGGCCCCCGAATCCGCGGGAGGGGCCGCAAGATGCGAGCGTTCGCGCGATGCGTACTCTCGAAAGCAGCGTGGATTCATGTGCGTGTGCGTCCTTCTGTCGCTCCTGAGCGAGGGCGGCGGATCAAGTGTGGCTTCTTTGGGGCTCTAGCCGGCAGGCTCCAGGACCGCGGCTCGAGCTGCTCGTGCTCCCGCTGCTGCCAGTGCTTCTTTGCCCTCGACGCCGCCCCCAGCCCGCCAAGCCACTGACCCCGCTCACCAAGGGCTCCCAGCTTCGCGCTTCGCGCTGCGCAAAGCGCGAAGTGCGAATAACTTCGCGCTCTCGCGCCGCCTCCCAGGGGAGAAAAGGAGGATGAGGAATCGGAGCCGAACCGCGAAGCGCGAAGCGCGAATGACTTCGCGCCCTCGAGGGCGCCCTTGCTCACGGGAGCCCCTGAGCAGTCAGATTCGAGCTGAGGCTCGCTGGGGGAGGAGGAGGAGGAGGAGGAGGAGGAGGAGGAGGAGGAGGAGGAGGAGGAGGAGGAGGAGGGAGGAGGAGGAGGAGGAGGAGGGAGGAGGAGGAGGAGGAGGAGCAGTCAGATTCGAGCCGAGGCTCGCTGGGGGCCTCTTCGGTGGCTTCCTGGGCCTCCCGGGGGCCTCCGGAGGCTGCCGCGGCCGTCGCCTCGGCGCCCAGCAGCTCATGCTCCACCCCTCGGATCTGGGCGCGGCGGTTCTCGGAGAGGCCTCCTCCTCCTCCTCCTCCTCCTCCTCCTCCTCCTCCTTTCTCCTCCTCCTCCTCCTCCTCCTCCTCCTCCTCCTCCTCCTCTCCTCCTCCTCCTCCTCCTCCTCCTCCTCCTCCTCCTCCTCCTCCTCCTCCTCCTCCTCCCCCTCCTCCTCCCCCTCCTCCCCCTCCCCCTCCCTCTCCTCCCCCCCCCGCGAAAGTCAGGGGGACGTAAGACCTGGGTACAGGGGACTCGGAAATCCCCGACGAGGTCGTCAAAAAAATGACGAGGCCGAGCCTGCATTTTGACGAGGCCTCCCGCGGCAGACATCCCACGAAGCTCCTCCTCGTCAAAATCCGAGGCGCGGTCGTCACAAAACGATGGCGAACCCGAGTCCTGGCAAACCCGGGTCTTACGCTCCCCCGAGAAAGCGAGGACGTCCAGCTGGCATGTGCCTGCAATCCCGGCGCTGTTCCGTTTTCGTCACTTCGGCTTCGTTTTGTTTTCGTTCGGCTTCGTTTCGGCTTCGTTTTCGTCATTTCGGCTTCGTTTTCGTCATTTCGGCTTCGTTTTCGTCATTTCGGCTTCGTTTTCGTCATCCCGGCGCTGTTTCGTTTTCGTCATTTCGGCTTCCGGGGGCTGTCTTCGTGCCCATGCATGGGGCGTCAAGCATCGACCCAGGACACGAAACGGCCCCTGGGGACCTCTCTGGCCCCAGGATCGAGGAAACCAAATCCTCGAACGTCTGCGAACTAGCTCGGGGCGGAGCGAATCCGACGAGGGCCAAGGTTTGCGGGTGTTGCTCTGTTCTCGTTTGACCTCCTGAAGCTTCCACGAATTTCTGCATGAGCTGCATACATCGGGCGATTCCTTGGGAGCTGCGGAAACGTCCAGAAAAGCCTTTTGCCCCACGTCGAACCGCGGGCACCCCGCGGGCGGACCCGGCTCACCAAATGAGGCGCCCAGGCAGGGTCGACAGC